AAGTCAGATCAAACTCTTAATATGTTATTAATCAAATAATTTAAGTGAGTTTATAGTCCAACAAGGTTCATGTGGTACTCTGAAAGATACAAGATTAAGAGATGCTTTATGGGCCTCTGTGGGACAACCACAGAGGGGACATTTCACAGGGGAAATGACAGACCAGAGTGGGTTTTTTGTATCTGACAGTACACAAAAATACTATCAGATCAGTAAGTGATTTTAGGCCTAAAAAACTTTTTTTTTTACAGATTATGAATAAGTTCACTTCAAGTCAAGTACATATTTTTGAGCTTTTTATTCAAAATTTTTGTCGACCAGGAATTTTTTTGGTCACCTACAACTAGAGCCGCAACTAACGATTATTTTGTAATCGATTAATCTATCGATTATTTTTACGATTAATCGAGTAATCGCTTGGCTGTGAATTGTGTAGAAAAAAAATATTTTTTAATCACAAAAAGCTAAAGTGGCAACACTCGAGGACGTATTGATGGCGTAAACTTAAAGTAAATGTTTGTAACAGGCTCTTTGTGCTAATTCTGCTCTGATTGGATGAGACAGACAGATATTCATGAAATTATAAAAACAAAGTCGGTTTTAATCAAAAATACTACATTTTCATGTCATTTTTGCTCTGTTTGAGTCCGTGTGAACCAGAAAACGATTAATCGATTACTAAAATAGTTGTCGACTATTTCAATAATCGATTAGTCGTCGATTAATCGATTAGTTGTTTCAGCCCTACCTACAACGCAAATGTGTCTGTAACCAGTCCCCATAGTGAGACGTTTTTTTTTGTGTGTAAATATCTGCCATCCAAGAGCAAACTATATCAGTGCAGTCCATTCATTTCTAAATATCTAGTTTGGTCTGGTCAAAGCTTGCATTTCTCCATGGGTGGGATGAGGGAAGACTCGGGAGCTCGAGATGCTTCAGGGACTTTCTGTGAATAAAGCGTACGTATAAAGAGTAGTAGAAACGCTTCCTGTATTTTGAACAAAGACGAGCCTCAGAGCAGTGAAGCGGCTGGAAGTCTGTGGAAGACACTGACAAAGAGGAGCTCTGCCGGGCCACTGTAATCTCTTTTTCCTGTCAAATACAACACGGAAGAACAACACGAGATCCAGCAGGCTTCAGGGAGTCTGTGAAAAGGGAAGCAGCACCAGCAGATACAAGGATACGGTGCGTTTTGTGGAAAGGCAACAGCGGTTTTGACTGTAACTAAAGTTTTAACACTGTCAGAAACAAAAAGCAGAGCAGTGCGGTCTCCTAGTCCAAGTCGTGTAGTGTTTTGTTTCATTGTCATTCTACCTCATCAGTTATTAATGCATTTCCTGTGTTCGAATTGTTTGATTTTCTGATCTGTGAAATTTCACAAAGATGAGAACTGTACAAAAATGAATTGAATTGAATTTAGGACTGAAGGCAAATTGCCATAGAATGAATTGCACTGGTGAAATTGTGAAAATTGCATACACTGTGCATTTAAAGCTGGGGTGCCTAATTTTCATAACAAAAAATGTATGTAATAGAATCCATCAGAAGAATTTCTCGCTCTCAAAACTAGTTTTCACAAGCATGCATCTTTGGCCTACATCACATTCTTAGATCCGCTTTTCCAACAGATAAATGAAAGAAAGAGGACCACCCTCACACAGCCAATCAGCTCTCTGCCCAAGCCCCAAGCGTCGCACGGCTCTCTGTTACAGGTGTGCAAACAGATGTAAATAATAGGATGAAGACAGAAAGTTGCAGTCTGATTTGTTCACAACATTTTACATTTACAAGACGCATTCTTTTGGGACAAACAACTTTATTCATGAAACAAAAAAGTTTAGAATCCCAGCTTTAAGTATCATTCACTGATGTATAAAACTTGCTCACACATTTCTGAACTTCCCTCTACCTGACTATTATGAACAGGCCATTCATTCAGTCTCGTCCCAAGCGCGACATTCCCTCCATGTGTATAAAACAGGCTTGGCAATAATTCATAATTGCCACTCAGAACAGAATATGTTAACTTCAAAGAAAACGCTTTAAAACTCCACACGTTTTCTCTCCATGTTCGTGACCAAAAAGGAACCGAATCCCCAGAGAAGGTCGGGGCTGATGTGCTGACTGAAGCTAACAGAGTAACGGAGAGCTCCAGGTCTATATCAGCCACAGCACAGAACAATGGGGACTTGTATTAACTGTGTTTACTTTGGATGTTTTTCTAAAGCAGTCAGCTCAAAGTCAAAACTACTCAGACGATTGTGACCTGCAAATAGTACGGATGACTGGAAAATCATAAAATAGATCCTTATGTACAAGAAATAAAAGCCCAACTCAAGGTGTGTGGAAACTTGGTCACGATGTTCAATTGGTGTTATGTTAATTAGTTATTTGTGCTGAAACTTTTTTAATTGTGCAAGTGTTTAGTAGAGCCATCATGAAACTTCAATCAATAAAATGTGCTTCAAACATAATAAAATAAATCTAAATCTTTAATAATGTCCCTGTAAAAGTGTTTATTTATTGGTCAGAGCTTGTGACTGAGAAGCAATTACTTCAGAGGCAAAAATGTAAAAATGTTAAGTTAAAAATGTTAAAAGATACAAGATATACAATGTTATATCAATCCAACTGATACTTTTACAGTATCTCTTCAAGTCCAAAAGTTGTGAACAAAAGAGCCTAAACATATCCATAAGTTGCTGTCATTTTCATTTTTAACACAGTTTGTACAGCTTTGTTAACTAAACAACATATACAAAAAAATATTTCATGTCTTCAAAAGCATCAGTCACATTATATTGATTAGTTAAACTTTCCACTAATCTGTCCACCTCCAGTCAACAAAGATTACGTTACACAATAATTTTTCAGGGCCAAAAAGCATGTATCCATCATCAACCATATACGCCCTCCATATTTGTAATTAATCAAAGCAGTAATGATGAATATACATTTTTGATACTGTCGCTTTTCCTACACACACACACCACAGAAGTACGTTTTCTGTGGTGGTGTGTGGAGTAGAACAGATGTATTGACAGACAGAGAAGGCTACAGGCTGACACCAAGCTCTGATACTGAAACTATGATGTCTGCAGAGAGAGACGTCACAATCAGCTGGGACACAAAACAGAGATACCACACAGAACAGATAGCAAACACGAGCACTTGATAACAGGGAGCATGGCAGAACAATGACAAAGAGAACAGTGTGAAAGTGTACGTAAGACAGCATTGAGATTTGGTGTTCTGTTGCAGTGAATAAGGGGTCCGGCATTAGTTAAATGCCAAAATGCAAACAAAAGCAATTAAGGAGTCTACGGGAATATTGAATAAACAAACTCCAATCGGCTCAGCTAAAACAAAACATTTACAGCATGAAAGCAATAGTCAACTTTAAAACCTTTTACAATTAAGATCCCATCTTTCATATATAAATATGGCAACAACTCAAATTATCTCGGCCAAAGCGCAAAATAATTTCACAAAATGCTCATTCAATTTATTTAAAGCAACCTGATATTAGCAAAGCAGACATTCTTTAGCAGAGAGCTCATAAATATTTCAGATGTTTGGTTTTGTAGGATGTCATCGACAATCGGCACAGAACACAGGCGTGTCAGAGGCACAAACACAACAGGTCCAGCGACTCGCACTTCACGTTTTTCAAGTCAATCTCCAGTGGAAGTGACAGCATCACACATAAAGGTGGTTGAGACAAAAATTAAAACGTTATTCAGGGATTTTCTGGGCACAAAGAGCACTCTTACATCTACTACTACAACTACTACTGACATCATTTACGTAGAAAACCATTAGATGTAATTCTGTACTTTGGCAGTAACTTTGGCTTGTTTAAGTTGTTAACACAGACATACATTTATTGAATAGTGTTCTCTACCATAGAAGCAACCACACTAATGTCTTTAGCCATTTATTATTATGATTCTTATGGTAATAATTTAAAATTCAATTTAGATATTCATGATCAAACTAAATATCTATTTGAATACCACAGATTTAAAAATGCTTTATGCTTTAAAAAGCACTGAACACAAATTCAGTGTGTTAAAATAGTTTGTAATTCATGAATTAAAAATACAAAATCATTCATAGTAGCTTTAAGGTATGCATGTTTTTGTAATATTTTCACAGTATTACAGTATCAAGTTCTTCAGAGTTATGTTTTGTAAGTTACCATTCTTATTCAATGTGGAATATGTATTGTACTAATACTTGCTTAATTGAGTAACTTTAATGTCTTATTTTGACAAATCAATTTCCTACCAATTCTTGAGTTGAATCTGAGACAAAAGGGTAACCCACACCTTCATCTAATGTTATTACTATAGTATTATACCAAAGGATTTTTCTTTTCAATGAAGCAATGTCATACAAATATACACATTTGTGTATACACTAAGTAAAACATATTACATATGTTGTTACATGTTAACCCTAAATCATAATGAAAGCATATCAGATTCGATTTTCCTAAAACAAAAAACTATATACTTCTACTAAGCCCATGTACGTGTACACATAAGATACTTGAGATGTTGATGTCATTCAGTGGTACTGCTGTATGAACAAACTACAGGGAAATCATCAATGTTCCACAAAAGAATGATAACAGAATTGCTAGCATCTCTAATAGCTTTGACAGAAACCAAAGTCCCAAGACATCTATAACTAAGCTTTCACTCCACAACATGAACATAAACAGTATGCTAAAAGACTAGACTAGTCCCACACTTGTCGAGCATTTCTGAAATACCCACAAATCCAGGATAGAAGCAATGTCAACAAGAATCTGGTCAGTTTCACTTGTGGTAGGCTTGACAAGTTTATACAAACCTAAACACCCAGTGTTAGCCAATGCTAGCGAACTTAGCTCATGTTAGCCTTCTACTTAGCCAGACTTCTAAGGGTTAAACTGCTACAAATGGCTTATTTCTGCGGCTGTGATGGTAGCGATAGCACAGAGGACTACTCACCCTTTATAATAGGCTTTTACGCGGACTTGATTTGGATTTTCGCTGGAGTGGGACATGGTGCTGTCCCGTAAAGTCGGCATCATGAGCTCCCTCAGCAGCGGGGGATAGCAGCCCTCTTCCTTCTTTGGCTTTCAAGTTACGTACCACGCCCAAAACTCTCAAAATTACCGGCCAGTGTCCCCCGTGGGAAGCATCGAGGTCATTAAGAACCAAAAACTATTCAACATAAAGTCCAAAGAAAAGCAAAAATTACATGTAAAGTAGTGGAAAACTTAAGAGCTCTGTGTGTCCAACTCCCTACTGCAAAGGCCTGGAGACGGACCAGCCCATTGTGGGAATGTGGGGGTGTATAGGCTTAGCATCACACAGAAAATCATAATAACATTTTAATTTTTACAGACTATTCCAGCTCTCATTTTACAAGAATGCGTTGCTAAATTTACAACAAATAATCTGTGAAGAAAACCTGTGATGACATAAAATACATGCATCGTTAATTCCGTGTGCATTCCGACTGTACCAACTCAACTTTGTGTAGGTTATGTGCAGCATTCAAAGAAGTGCAGCCCCTCCAGTCATGACATTCAAGTGCGCTGATTTGTAAACTATTATTATACATCCTTGTCTATTCGTTTAACTCAGACTAAAAATAACCACAAATAGAATAGCTATGTGCAATGTACTAAAGGTCCATTTTGTGATCTAATTGTGTCTTTATATGAATATTTTCCTTGTATTATTAATCAAATACTGCTTGCCTTTCCATTATATTGTTGCTAAATATTCATTATCTTTTCCAGAGGGACGGCGCCCCCTTACAGTTTTTCTCAATCGCTTTGGTGCATTTCTCGGATCAAACTTAAAGTTCTCAAAACTATTAGTTCAACCTCCACAACATTGAGTCATTGGTGCACATCATCATGGCAGTTTCTCATTCCTATGAACAATTTACAAATGCTTTTGGACATGTATCAGTTACTTTCATACAATTCTCTGATGTTTTTTAACATTATCATTTGCTTCTGTTCTGTCAGTCAAAATGAAACATTCTTATGACTTCTAAATAGTCATTCACTATCAAACGAAAGTCCTCATTTCATCGCTTTGGTCATCACATACAAAATTGTTGAACTAGTTCTCAAAATCATTTTTGTCAAGCTAATTTCATACATTGATTTTTATCTTTTTTCCCCTGTAAATCTTTTCTGAATTTAACAATGTCTCTCAAGTGAATTTCAGCTTTACTCATGAGGAGGTGTGTGTTTTATTGTTTACATTTTTCACAGTTCTACCATAATGATATTTCTTGTATGTTTGTTCTATGTATGTACTTGAATGTGACTGTATTTTTGTTGCACAATGCTGTAGAATTGCAAAGAGCATTTGTAGCAAATATGTGAAATACATGAAGTACACATACACACATACATGCATACATACAGTACACAGACATACATACATACATACAGTACACAGACATGTACATACAGTACATACACACATACATGCATACATACATAGAGACATACATACAGTACACATACATACATACAGTGCATACATACATACACACATACATACATATATGTCAGTTACCTCTCTAAATACAGTCTTTGTGTAACTTTACTGTAGTTTTTACTGTAAATGGCTGTATAGGTCGTATGTAGTGTGCTCATAGCCGTGCTCAAGTGTCACCAAGATCTGACTTTTTTACATTACAGTTTTTCTCAGTCGCTTTGGTGCATTTCTCACATCAGACTTAAAGTTCTCAAAACTATTAGTTCAACCTCCACAACATTGGGTCATTGGTGCACATCATCATGGCAGTTTCTCATCCCTCTGAACACATTTCAAATGCTTTTGTTCATGTATCAATAACTTTCATACAATTCTCAGCGTTTTTTTAACCTTATCATTTGCTTCTGTCCTGTCAGTCAAAATGAAACATACTTATCACTTCTGAATAGTCATTCACTATAAAACTAACTGTCCTCATTTCATCGCTTTGGTCATCACATACAAAATAGTTGAACTAGTTCTCAAAATCATAACTGTCAAGCTAATTTCATACATTCCTTCAACTTTTTTTCCTGTAAATCTTTCCTAAATTGAACAATTTATCTCAGGTGAATATCAACTTCACTCATGAGGTGTGCTTTATTGATTATTTTTGTCACAGTTCTACCATAATGATATTTCTTGTATGTTTGTTCTATGTATATACTGTACATGTACAGTATGTGCCTGCAATTCTACAGCATTGTGCAACAAAAATACAAAGAGCATATGCAGTACACATACATACATATACATACAGTACATACATACATAGATATACACATACATACATATACATACAGTACATACATACATAGATATACACATACATACATATACATACAGTGCATACATACATAGATACACACATACATACATATACATACAGTGCATACATACATAGATACACACATACATACATACATACACATATACATAAATGTTACAGAATGTCAGTTACGTCTCTAAATACAGTCTTTGTGTAACTTTACTGTAGTTTTTACTCTAAATGGCCGTATAGGTCGTGTATAGTGTGCTCATAGTCGTGCTCAAGTGTTACCAAGATCTGACTTTTGATCTGACACTGAAAACACAGAGAGAGTGAAGTGTCACAATGAAAACATGACTAAGTCATTTGACTGTGATGTTCATACTCAATGTTGTTAGGACATATTATTTAGACGACATAGACAGTTTCATTGACGTTTGGACTTGCTTTTGAGGAATAAACTTTTAATTTTGAGAAAGTGACGCACTTTTGCAGGTTTTCCACAAGGTTCTGCAGTTTGCACTAATTGTTCTGAGAAATGCACCAACAGTTGTGCAAATGTGAAGAATGATGTGAAAAATGCACCAAAGCGACTGATAAAAACTGTAAAAACACACAGAGAGAAAACTTTCACAATGAAAACGTGACTAAGTCATGTGATGGTGTTGTTCATACTCAATGTTGTTAGGACTTATTATTTTGACGACACAGACAGTTTCATTGACATGAAGACTTGCTTTTGAGGAATTACTTTTAATTTTGTGAAAGTGACGCACTTTTGCAGGTTATCCACAAGGTTTTGCAGTTTGAACTAATTGTTCTGAGAAATGCACCAACAGTTTTGCAAATGTGAAGAGTGGTGTGAAAAAAGCACCAAAGCGACTGAGAAAAACTGTAACTTTTCATTTTGAGAAGGTGATGCACTTTTGCAGGTAATCCACGAGGTTTTGCAGTTTGCACATATTGTTCTGAGAAATGCACTAACAGTTGTGCAAATGTGAAGAATGATGTGAGAAATGCACCAAAGCGACTGAGAGAAACTGTAAAAAGACTGCTGACCTGTAACCTGGCAGTCACAATTTTCTTGGAGTAGACGCTTGGTTCTGACCATTTTCTCTGCTTAAGTCCAAAGCAAAAAGCTAAATGCTTCATTAGCATTTTTCAAGTGGATGTTCACCTGATCCACTTGGTTCGGACCATGAATCCTCTCTGTTCCGATCTTGACCAGTGTAAAACCATGAACAATGTACTGCAACAACATCTCAGGTAGAAAAAAGCAATAAAACTATAAATTGTAAAGCACAAAAACAACAACCTGCAGGAAAAGACGCTAAGTAAGATATTTACATCAATATTATCACGATTCTATGACCTTCCCATAGAAAGGATTAACAATAGATACAGTATTTGTCTTTGGTTGGTTTCACACTCCAATTGCATGGTGAATGATAAATCACATACATTTGGACTGTGGACAGAGAGGCATGTCCAGCAGCAGTGAGGCCTGAAGGGGCTGAAGAGAGAGACATCGCAGGGGGAGAGGGCAAGACGGTCATCCATGAGACTGCCACACACCACAGGGGCAAGAGTCATGGATAACACGCACCAACAAGCTCTGCCTTCTCTGATATAATTTGAGAATTTGAGAATTGAAGTATTACTTTAAATTGTGTCTTGTTTCTTGTTAATATGAGTTTATGTTGCTGTTGCAGTAAACTAATATGATCCTGAGATTGTTTTAAATGGAACACCTCGAACACCTTTGATGCCCAAGGACACAACGACAGCAGACCTCAGTGGGAGTCGGTGGAGAAGGTCTCGTGTTGGGCTCGAACCCAAGACCTTCAGGCTCAAAGGCCAATGTTCTACCAACTGAGCCACTGTCACCTGAGTCCAAGCCACCCCAAGAAGAGGGGGAAATCGAAGCACCTGGAGGAAACCTATAGGAAAACATACGAACACAGGACCCAGGACTGAGAGGAGAGAACACAGTACCAAGACACAGAGCCACAGCCTCCGCCTCGGAGCAAACGTGTCCCAGAGCAGCCTGATTAAGCTGTGTTTGCACTTTTTTGTTGTTGATTCAAGCTAATGTCGATGATAGCATAAGCATGTCAGAATGTACATAATACAAATCAGTTCAAAGCTTACTTCTTTGTCCGGTATATCTGGTATAAGCTTCACCAGCGACTGACGACCATCATGTATCTCTGAAGAAAGCAAAAATTACTTTATTTGAAATCTATAACCACCATTGATTGGGAGAAATGGGAAGGACTTCCAGAAAAACAGTGTTAAACAGGACTCTAAAGCAAACGTCTGTCGGAGTGGATGAAACAACTAGAGAGTTTTGTTGTATTTTTAACTGAAGAAGATTACACTCAAATATGCTCCAATTTAAATTGAATGGTAACCAAATGAAAACGAGTCCGGCCCTCTACAATGTACCAATATCCGAACAATAACTACCCTCCCCTGATTTAGGCTATATCTACTGTCTGCTGGGAACACCAGCCACAGTGGGGCGGCTGCGGCTGTAAAGTGCCAAACTGCCGTTGTGTCCTCAGGCAAGACACTTCACTCCCATTGCCTAGAATGAGTCTGGTGTGTGTTTGAATGGTTGGTGGTGGTCGGAGGGGCCGAAGCCACACACTGGTTGCCTCGCTTCTGTCAGTGTGCCCCAGGGCAGCTGTGGCTACAGGAGTAGTTTATCACCACCATGTATGGAGTGAAAGAATAATTATATGTAAAGCG